GTGACACGCTCGCAGGGCGTGGCAGGCGTGGCACTTCCTCGACACCACAGGGGGTGCGCAGGGGGTGGTCTCTCACCGCGGCCGCTACGCACGACAATCGCCCAGGCGCAGCAAGCGTGGCACTTTCTCGACACCACATGGGGGTGGCCCCTGAGCGCGGCCGCTATCCGTGACACGCTCGCGGGGCGTGGCAGGCGCGGCACTTTCTCGACACCACTGGGGGGGGCCCAGAAGGTGGTCCCTCAGCGGGGCCTCTATCCGTGACACGCTCGCAGGGCGTGGCAGGCGCGGCACATTCTCGACGCCACATGGGGGTGCGCAGAGGGTGGTCCCTCAGCGCGGCCTCTACCCGTGACGCGCTCGCAGAGCGTGGCAGGCGCGGCACTTTCTCGACACCACTGGGGGGCGCAGAGGGTGGTCCCTCAGCGGAGCCTCTATCCGTGACACGCTCGCAGGGCGTGGCAGGCGCGGCACATTCTCGACACGACATGGAGGTGCACAGAGGGTGGTCCCTCAGTGCGGTCTCTATCCGTGACGCGCTCGCAGATCGTGTCAGGAGTGGCACTTTCTCGACACCACATGGGGGTGCGCAGAGGGTGGTCTCTCAGCGCGGCCTCTATCCGTGACACGCTCGCAGGGCGTGGCAGGCGTGGCACTTTCTCGACGCCACAGGGGGTGCGCAGAGGGTGGTGTCCCTCAGCGCGGCCTCTATCCGTGACACGCTCGCAGATCGTGGCAGGAGTGGCACTTTCTCGACACCACAGGGGGTGCGCAGAGGGTGGTGGTCCCTCAGCGTGGCCTCTATCCGTGACACGCTCGCAGATCGTGGCAGGAGTGGCACTTGCTCGACACCACAGGGGTTGCGGGGAGGGCGGTCCCTCAGCGCGGCCTCTATCCGTGACACGCTCGCAGATCTTGGCAGGAGTGGCACTTTCTCGACACCGCAGAGGGTGGTCCCTCAGCGCGGTCTCTATCCGTGACACGCTCGCAGATCGTGTCAGGAGTGGCACTTTCTCGGCACCACAGGGGGTGCGCAGAGGGTGGTCCCTCAGCGCGGCCGCTATGCACGACGGTCGCCCAGGGAATAGCAGGCGCGGCACTTTCCCGGCGTCATAGAGGGTGCGCAGGGGGTGGTCCCTCAGCGCGGCCGCTATGCACGACGGTCGTCCAGGGAATAGCAGGCGCGGCACTTTCTCGACGTCATAGCGGGTGCACAGGGGGTGGTCCCTCACCGCGGCCGCTACGCGCGACGGTCGTCCAGGGCATAGCAGGCGCGGCACTTTCTCGACACCATCGAGGGTGCGCAGGGGGTGGTCCCTCACCGCGGCCGCTGGCTGGCTCGAATCTGTCCTCGACGGAGGCTAGAAGGCTAGGAAGAGGGAGGAGGTTCAAGCAATATGGCGCTGGATGACACATAGGGGAACATTCGCGACGAGGGCTGAGAACGCAGAATTGCGCATATATTATAAACTTAAGCAAACACACAAGATTTAAGTTAAGTATGTGGGGTTCCTCGGTAGCGTAATTGATTGCAAGTTTTCTTGAGGCCTCTTGGAGGCTATCTTGAGCTATGCTCGGCTAAAAAGGCTGTCGGGGGCTCTCTTTGAGCCATGCTCGGCTATCTTGGGCCATTTTGAGGCTGCCTTGTGGCCTCTTGGAAGGCTGTCGGAGGCTATATTGAGCCATGCTTGGTCATTTTAAACAATTTTGAAAGCCAGCTTGGGCTATCTTGGAGCCATCTTGGGCCAAACAAAGCGGGGTGGAAGGGTTTTTGGGAGAGGCTGGGAGGCCTCTTGGGGCCATTTTGGGCACCATGGCTCAAAGAGGGGGGGGGGATGGGCGGGGTTGAAAAGGGGGGGGGGGGGGCGGGGGGGGGGGGCGGAATCCGGGGCCGCCCCCTCGGAGGCTCTCGAACAGCATATTGGTGCCCTCTTGGAGCGCTCTTGGGCGCCTCTTGGGCGATCACAGGGCCTTCTTCGGCCTTCTCGGGCCAGTCTTGGGCGCCTTTTGGGCTGTCTTTGGGCCGTCTTGGGGCTTCCAAAGCTCTCCGGAAGCGAAAAGGCGATAATGCCAAACACACTGATTCCCCATAGGCTGCTGAACGGTTTGGGCATCTTGGAGGGCGCCGTGGAGGGCTCGAAGGGTACTGGATCCGTCTTGGGGCTGTCTTGGGGCCTCTTGGGGGCATGTCGGAGGCTATCTTGAGCCATCTAGAAGTAGCATGGGCCATCTTGGAGGGCATCTTGCGACTTCGAAGCCCTCTTGGAGCAATATTGGGCCATCTTGGACGCTCTAACGCCTCGGTGCCCACCCCTTCCCGGCCCAGGGGGGGGTCCAATGGGAAGAAAAAACACGTTATACCACCTAAGCCCAGAGTGCTGGCGGGATTCCGATGGCCCGCCCCGGATTCGGAAGTGGAACGCGGGCCCCTGAGGGAAGGCCCCCCCGCCTGAGACTTCCTCGCAATTCACTTACAGACGATGCCCCCGCCTGATACTTCGTCCACATTCAGGCCTGAAGAGCCTGAACGCGACCACAACTACAGGACGCCGATAACCCGCCTCAGATTCGAACATGAAACGCGGTAACCAGGTATATCAAATGGTGATTGCACTCAATGGGGGTGCCCTCGTGGTTCATGATGTTCGCATCGACTCTCGCGCGCATCAGCTCCACCTCGTTCCAATTGAATGCCGGGCCGTACTGCCTTCTGCACTCCTCGGTGCAGCGCACGAGCTCCTCGATGATTGCGGAATCGCTGTCCACGAGCAGCGTGTCGTCTGCATATACGACGCCCCGCACTGCTCCTCCATGCAGATTCGGAATTCGTTTTCCCAGTAGGCGATGTGCATCAGCGAGAAAAACCGTCATCACGATCACAAGCAAAAACGGCGAAAGAGGACAACCTTGGCACATGCCGCAATGCTGCGAGTGCCCGGAAAAATCGGCACCAAAACCGGCAACGATGAATTGGCGCCCCGCGTAAATAGCGGCGAGAATCTTGACGAAGTGGGTCGGGCAGCAGCCGATCGTCGCAAGGGCGCCGCCAGCGCCTGCGGCGGTAGAGAGTGGAACGCCTTTGCCGAATCTAGCGCTAACATCATTACTTTTCCGTCCTTGGTAGCCCAAGCGTCCTCCAAAATACGACGCGCCAGAAAAATAGCATCTACCGCCCCGCGCCCTGACCTGAAACCGAACTGCGTTTCCAGATGACGTCCTATGCGCCTGCCTGCTTGAGCCGATTCAGCAGGATGGCGGCGAGCAGCTTGTAGCCGATCGGGAATAAGCTAATCGGCCGATAATTGTTGCAATCGGCTGGGTCACCTTTCTTGTATTTCATTTTGACGCGCGCCATATGCCAAGCCGTTGGAGTTCTCGTGTTCGCCCACATCACATTACATAATCTCGTGATCCATGCCAGCGAGGTCTCGCCCTCCCTGGCGACGGTTTTCCAAAACTCGGGCGGCAGATTGTCGCGAGCGGCCGCTCTGTCAGCGCGGAGGCCCTGGGCGGCAGCACGCACTTCTGCGGCATCGATGGGTCCACTGCGAACGGGTTGCTCTGGGTTGAGCTGCGTCTCCTCCACCGCGACACCAGTGGGTCGCACGGTCCATTGGATATTCTCGAGGTGGTCGGCCAGCGTCTCGGCGCGGCGGTCGCTGTCAACAAGCTTCCCACTTGCGTCCCGTAGGCGCCCTTGCTGCAGACAGAAGCCTTTTTGGAGTTTCCGTATCTCCTTCCAGTTGCCGTCCGCCGTTAGAGTCTCTAGCCACGTCGATGTGTCCCTAGCGACCGATTTTCGGATCTCTTTCGCGAGATGCTTCTCCTCCAGGGTCGCCCCGCGTCGACGAGCGTCTGACCTTCGGGCGATAAGATGCAGCGTTCCTGAACTTATCCACGAATGTCTCGATCGGTGGCTAGACTCGTGGGCACAGATTCTCCTCAGGATGCCACAGGAGGCTCCAACAGGCTCCAGGAGGCCCCAGGAGACCACATGAGGTCCCAGGAGGCATCAGGAGGCCACTGAAAGACTCAAGAGGCCACAAGATGTCCCAAGAGGCTGTAGGAGGAGGCCCCAGGAAGCTCCGGGAGGCCTCAGGAAGCCACAGGAGGCCCCAGGAGGCCAGAGGAAGCGCCAGGAGGCCTCGGAAGGCAACAGGAGGCCCCGAGAGGCCCCAGGAGCAGTCCCAAGCGCCCAAATGGCTAGACGCGCATTCCCAGATCCCACTGACAATTATCCTTTTAAAAAGATGCACATCTGGGGATCTCCACGCAGTGAGTAATTTAACTATTTTTGAATATTCCTCCTGTAGAGGGACGTGCCCGACTTAACCCTAGCCCTGGCTAACAATAGCTGCTGAAAAAGGCTGGGACACACAACGCACCACCTCCGAATGGGAGACGGCCCGAGCGACACGGAACGAGAGGCAAAATCCTGGGCTCTCATATGGGCAGAGGTGGAGCCGCGGAATCGGCTGGCGCCCTGGCAGCCCAGCAACAACAAAAACATGACGACGACGACGACGACGACGACGAGCATCGCCACCGCCTAGAGTTCCGATGTCCCGATGTCCCGACCCTTCCCCAGGACGGGTTTTCCATCCCGAGCGTTTTTTTCTGGTCTTGGGGACTTACGAGGGCCTTCAGATGCCAAGAAGGGCGAAAAACCTCCGTCTTGATTTTTCAATACCCTGGGTCTCCCATCCCGAATGGTTTTTTAACAGTCCTGAGGCCCAGCGAACGCCTCAAAAAAAACGAAAAGGGCGAAAAACTCCCGTCTTGTTTTTTTTTGAACTGGAAGGAAAGAAAACTGCATCAACATCAACTTTTGGCGCTCCGCAAGGATTTCTCGGATCCGCTCTGGGCCCCCCCCTTCTGGCGCGCGGAGCGCGCCAGGGGCGGCGCCAGAGGCGCCGCTGGGGGTGCCCAACGCGGATCCAAGAAGTCCGCGCGGATCGCTGAGACGCCACGACGCCGGCGCCGGCGCCGACGACGGGGTCCTGGCAGCCCTCCCTGCGCTGGCGCATCACCTCCGCGAGCGCGTCCGCGCCGCGGCGCACCACGTGCGTGCCAGCGGCCGCAGAGCCTGAGGGCGTCGTGCGAGGGCGGGTCCGGGGGCGCAAGGCCGCCGTCTGCGTTCTGGTGCGTCCTCGGGGGACCCTTGTCTGTCTCGTCGCGGCCCGATCCGCGTCAAATCCGTGCCGAATGCATGTTGGACTCGTCGGATCCGTGTCGAATCCGTGTCGAATCCGTGTCGGATCCGCGTCGGGTCCGCGCCAAATCTGCGTCGAGTCCGGATCGAGCACGCATCGGGCACAAGAAAAGACACGAATTTTTGGGACAGGCGGCCCCCCGAAGATGCAACGTAATCTGCGGAGTGGGGGGGAGGACGCAGGAGGACATCCTACTACAGTGGGGGCGCGCATCAAGAAACTGACTGCTTTCCGTTGGGTTTCTTTGCTCCGCGCGCTGTGCGGTGGCTTCCCGTGGCCGTTGAAGCAGCTGCTGCGTTGCGGCCGCGCCCGCGCTGTTCTGTGTGTCCTCCTCGGAGGCGCGCGCCCGACCCGAACATCTAGTAAACAGATCTGGTAGTTCATCGTTTCCCCAGCGGTATGGCCAGACAGCGCCCGCCACGACGATTATACTATGGTGATGAGCGTTCTCGGTGCGCGCGTCACCCCTGGCGGGGCGACGCGCACACAATATTCGTATGTTGGGATGACGCCGACGAAGAAAGCATTCCAGGAACATGATGGTCGCCGCCAGTCCTAAAGCGAGAGTCACATGCTGAAAACCGTCAACGCTCTGCGAGATTGAACGCACGAAAGTGGTGCCAAAACGAAGACCGCATGTTGGAAACGGCCCAGACCGCCATCGTCTGGTGGTGAGACGGGAAAGCGGAAGGAAGATGGGGGGAGTGGGAGGTAGGAGCGAGGACTGAATAGAGCGAGGGAAGAACAAATGGTGAGCTCGAAGTGGTAGGAGGGGGAGGAAGAAGAGTCAGAGAAATGACGACGAAGATCAGGACGCCCTCGACGAGTGGGATGAGCCTCATGGGTGGGGGGGGACAATGAGAGGCAGGATGATGAGAACACTCATGACGAGAGAGCCATTGGGCAGAAGGACGATATAAGATGAGGACGAGAGAGAGACGCAGGACGAAGACGAGGAGCAGGGAGGGAGAGGATGAGGCATAGCTAGGATCGGCTACACGCAGGAGTGCCCCTAGGCAATTGTGGCCCCGCGTAGGTGCGCGGCGGACTGATGGGGCGCAAGGTGGCCAAATCCGAGCGCGCCAGCAGCCACTACCGTATCGCCCTCAAAGATGGGGCGAACCCCGATGAGCCCACACCAACCCAAAAATCCGACACCGTGATTTTGTTCAATACGGGGTCCCCAGAAATACCTACCCCTTTCGCAGGACCGCTTTGTATCCTGAGCAGTTTGTTTGGCGGCCCCAGGGCCCGACGAGGACATCTGGAGGCTGCAGAAGGCGACAGACCTCCCTCTGGATGTTTCAACTCGCTGGATCTCTAGGCAAGTTCACTCCGGCGAAGAGTCGCTCTTACGTGTATAGATGGAGAAAACAAGCAAACGCTTTAAACATAAACGTTTGGCGCTTCGCGCGGATGTCAAAGATCTGCGCTGGACCCCCCTCCCTGGCGCGCGGAGAGCGCCAGGGGCGGCGCCGCAGGCGCAGCCAGGTGAGCCCAGGCGCCGATCCAAGAAATCCGCGCGGAGCGCCAAATGTTTATGCTTATGGTGCTGTTTCTCCTTCGACAAGACAAGACAAGACAAGACAAGACAAGACAAGGCAAAACAAGACAAGACAAGACAAGACAAGAGCCCGCGTTGAGGCACCTTCGAGTGCAGCCGATCGGAAAACAGGGGGCCTGTTCTGCAGACGCATCAGACCGAACCGCCCAGAACGACCCTCCCTAGAGCGAAGACGGTGACCTCAGTGAGGCTACTCCAGATTTCGTAATAAAGGGAGGGGGGTCTCATTTCGGGGGGGGTCTCTTCCAGGCTACCTTGGAGGGCCTGGGGTGGTCTGGGGACGATGTTTTGGAGGGTTCTCCCACGGGGGAGGTCTGAAGTGGCTTGTCTTGGAGGGTCCAGACCCCCTCCCTTTTTATTACGAAATCTGGAGTACGTCTTCATCGTGTTATCAGGATTCGGGGCTCTTCTGTGTCCTCGGTGAAGAGGAGATCGGGCAGGGGTGAACTCGCGGCGCACGCCTGCGGGGCGCGTGCCGACGGCGGGCGGCGCGGCCGCAGCGCCCTCCACGGCCGGCGCGCCACGGCGCTCTCCGCCGCCCGCGGTGCCCTCGGCCTGGGCGCGCTCACGCCGTCGGTGCGCCGCCAAAACTTGCCCCATTTCCACTGCTGCTGGGTCGTGTTGCGAGGACTCGGGGAGCGGCGGATATGGATATCTGCCCGCTCGCGCGGGCGGGCAGATATCCATATCCACTGCTCCTCGAGATTCCAGGGCACGACTCCGAAGCGGTGGATGTGGACATATTCTGGCGGTGGAGTCGGCGCCATCGGTTGTCGTCGCAGCCTGTCGTCGCCGACTATAGACGAGCGCGTTCCACTACTCGCAGCAGTAACTGCTCTCGAGCGGCCTGGTTTCGCCGCGGGGGGATCACGATCCACTACGTCGAAGCAGACATGTGTTGTTTTGTCTGACGTTTGCGAGTAGGCACCGTGCGAGTAGTGGACCGCGCTCGGTGAGTCTGAGACGAAACAAGGACGAGGACAAATTCAGATGAGGATAAGTCGAGAATCCCTAAGATCTGAGCGGCTCTCGAGGATGTTTCATCGCCTCAGCCTTCTCAGAGCGGTCCAGACCACTCCGAGAGCGTTCCGGAACGCTCTGCAACAGATCTTTCCATGTCCTAGCGTTAGGTCGGGCATGTCCTCCTAAAGGCGGATTTCGGAGGAAAAACAACTAGTCAAAACATGTTCAACAAATCTTGAAAAGTACGCAGAAAATCGTCCCCAGACTAGTTTTGAGCATTTCTCCTGTAGAGGGACACGCCCGACTTAATCCTAGCCCCGCCTGAGCGTCGCCGTCGCCGTCATCCCAGGGGTGCAGGTCGTCGTGGTGGTCGGCGTCGCCGTTGTCTCTCCCTTCACTGTCGTTGGCGGCCGCGTGGTGCCCGAACACATCCCGATCCCTGTCGTTGTCCTCAGAATCCTCTCCATCGTTGTCGCACTGTTCGCCGTCGCCAACGCCGTGCTCGTCGTCGACGCCGCAGCGGTGGTCGTTTACGTCCTACTTCGGCTCAGCTCCGCTCTCCTGTGCTGTCTGGCTCTTGTTGGGCGGCGAGCCCGGGGGTGAAGCGAGAGGGGGCGGGCCTCCTGAGAAGGCTCGGAAGTTACCCGGCCTTCTGAGAAGTCCCCCATGAAAGCCCAGAATCGAATCGATAAGTCGGACCGGCAATCGAAATGAACCGGATCGGCGGAAATCAGCAACCGAGTCGGGAGGAGTCGGATCGGCGGAAATGCGCAGACTAATAGGCCTCCAATGAGAACTCGGAACCCGAATCGGAATCCGAAATCGAATCGAAGCGGAATCGGAAGCTATCGAAATCGAATCGAATCTGAGGAGTCGAAGGCGCAGAGCACTTCTCAGAAGGCGCGAGGGCTTCTGAGAAGCCCCGCCACCTTCTGAGAAGGCCTTCTCCTTCTCACGTCCCCTCTGGGCGCGCCGCCGATTATCGGTCAAAACCGGTTCCCCGACCCCTCCTGGGGTCCATCCGACGCGGTGTTTCACCCCGGATCGCGTTTCGGGGGTCCCAGGGCCCGGAAACAGCCCCCAGAGTTAAGTCGGGCCTGTCCTCCTATAGGGGGATTTCGGACGAAAAATTAAACACTGCCAAACAATACCTCAAAATGGCCACACAATGGAAAAAAACATCGTCCCAGACTATCTTTTGATTATTGTTGAATATTCCTCCTGTAGAGGGACAGGCCCGACCTGACCCCAGAAGCCGAAAACGAGGAAACACCGCCTCGAACCTCGAACCTCGAAATTCGAGCCTCGAAGTTCCCCCACCTCGCCCGCCGCCGACTGATACGCTCTGCTGCAGTTCCTCGTCCACGTCGCCGTCGTCCTCCCGCCCCTTCCGCCTCCCACCTTCCGCGGGCCCCGCTCTCCCCCAACTACTCTTGTCCTCTGGGGGAACAGGGATCGCCACAGGGCTCGAGCCAAACAGCCAAACAATGTTCTTGCAGCTTTCGTTTTGTTTTCGGTGTTCGTCGTTCTGTCTTCGTCTCGCCTCTGCTGCTAAACGAAGTCAAAACGGAAACAGTCCACGAAATCGCCAAGACACCGCTTGGCTCAAGCCCTGCAGCGACACAAAGACAAAGCCTCGGAGGTCCGCGCAGATTTCTCGGATCGATGCTGGGCCCCCCTCCCTGGCGCGCGGAGCGCGCTAGGGGCGGCGCTGGAGGCGCCGCCAAGGGGCCCCAGCGCCGATCCGAGAAATCTGTGCGGACCTCAGAGCTTTTATAGCGTACGTATGTCATTGTTTGTTCCCCGCCTCCTGCCCCCCGCTGCTCCCCAGACCTCTCCTGGGGACCGTTCTGACCAGACTCTCGAGGCGAATCCGGAGGTGGCGACGAGGACCTCCCAAGAGGCCCAAAAGGGCGAAAACGAGGCAAGGGTAGCGGTATTGGTACCTTTTCTCGGGGGCGCGCAAACATGGATTTGGCGCGCGGTCGCCAAACCCATGGATCGGGGGAGGTGCCCTCCCCAAAGTGCGGCCGGTGCCGCCTCGCCCAGCGGCGGAAACCCGCGATTTCTCATGAAGACGGGACCCGTCGCTATTCCATGCCCCCTTGATTCATGTGTGTGATCGCCTGACACTGGCACCTTCTCCTCCTTCGAAAACCCCCCCCGCCCTCTCCCTGCCCGCAGCCAGTCAGGCTGGGCCCACGGCAGCGGCGGCGTCCCTGGCGGGCGCCTCGGCGTCGACGGCGCGATCCGCGGCAGGCGAAGACATGTCCATCACCTCGCTCGGGGCTTGGGCACCCCCCGTCAGTCGAGGTCTCCTAGGTGGGGTCCGAGCAGATGGGGTCGGAGGATCTCGCCGCATCGCCGATGCATCGGCGATGCATCGGCGATGCATCGGCGATGTATCGGCGATGCATTGGCGGCATCGGCGATGCATCGGCGACGCCAGCGTGGAAAAAATCGAGCTACACATCGAGCCGCATCGCCGATACATCGGCGATGCAGACCGCCGATACATCGGCGATGCCCATCTAGGAGACCTAACAGTCAGCGGCACTCGAAAACAGTGATGCGTGAAGTTTGACGTGCAGCGACCTACAAAAATGTCAATGGAAGGGCAAGAGAAGGGGCAAGGCAGGAACACAAGGGAGGAAGTGGAGGAGAAGGGAAGATCAGCCGACACCCGACTGCCGGGGTGTTAGGCGTGAGAGACGTGTGGCCGTCCCCCTCCCAGAAGGGGGGAGCTCGTCAACTGCAACCCCGGGGCCTCCCAAGCTTCCAAATCGACACCTCGTGGCCTCCAAGATGCCCAAGATGCCCTCTAAGCTGGCTCAGGCTGTGCTCTAAAACGACGAGGAGGCCTCAAACATAGCCACGAGGGTCTCTCAAAACTGCCCAGAGGCCTCAAACACGCCCCAAGAGGGCTCCCAGACGAAACGGACCCAAACAAATAAAATTCGCCTCAATCCTGGAGGGAAACGTCTGTGTTTAACAGATTCGCACTTTGAGTCTTACCAGCGTCCAGGACGGCCCTCGAGGGCCCCAAGACGGCAAGAGAGGGTCCCCCAAGACGTCCGAAGAGGCGCCTGAGATGGCCCGAGAGGCTCCCAACAGGGCACCAAGAGAGGTGACCGGAATTGCCACTCCGAGCCCCTCCACCCCAGGAGGACTCCCGAGCCCGCCAGCAGGCCCCTGAGAACCTCCCAGCAGGCCCGGAGAGGCCCCCCAAAGAGCCAAAAGTGCCCCGCAGGGTCCCCAAAATGCGCCCGGGAGGCCTCACCCGTGGGCGCGTTCCCTCTTCTGCGGGTCGGCGGAGTGGCGTAAGCCTCTTGAATCGAGACGGTGGGAGGTGGAGGTGATCTCAGGAGGAGGGGGCGGGGGAAGATCGAGAAGGAGACTGGGGAACTTCTGATAAGGAGGAGGGGAATCGTGTTGCATTCTCGGGCGACCTTGTCTGTCCAATCGCAACCCTATCCGCGTCGAATACATGTCGGCCTCGTCGGATCCGTGTCGAATCCGTGTCGAATCCGTGTCGAATCCTAGTCGAGTCCCGATCGAGCCCGCGTCGGGCACAAGAAACGACACCAATTTTGGGGACAGGCGAGGTCCCCTGAAGATGCAACTTGCAAAGAGGAGGGGGAGGGATGAGGGCGAGGATACGAGCTGATCTGAAGAACGATGTCAATCACCTCGCTCAGGGCTCGGGCCACTTCGCCGCATCTGCGGCCCCCCCCCCGCGGACCCCCCCGCTTGCGAAGGCAGGGCACGTGGAGGGGGCCAAGAAGAAAGGGAGGAAAGAGAGGATCGCGGGGGAAGAGAAGAGGGAGAGGGCGGTTGGAGGGATTCCGATGAAAGATAAATTAAGATGAGCTGAAACAACACGGTATAAACATAAACTGTCGGAACTCCACGCGGATTTTTTGGATCTGCGTTTGGCCCCCCTTCGCGGCGTCTCTGGAGCCGCCCCTGGCACGCTCCGCACGCCAGGGAAGGGGGCCCACCGCCAATCCGAAAAATCCGCGCGGACCTCTAACAGATTATATGTTTATGCCGCTTCTTGCTCTTCCAATTAAGGATGCGGAAAGGGGCCTCAACCTGACACTCCAATGACAGGAATGCCTTGGATAGGAGCAACCTGCCGCAGCCGCCGACGAGTGCGCGTCGACTGCTTTGAATATGGCGCATCGGCCCATGCCGAAGAACGTGGGGCACTGCGGAAGGAGAGCAGCAGGAACGAAGAGCAAACAACAAAATTTCGGACGGCGGGGATGTCACTTGGCAATGCTGACAGCATGCCGACTCGTGCAACGCTACCGCTTTTCATAATCCTGACGGCACGCAACACGTAGTCAAGGTCATTGCTCGCTCAAGCATCCTCGCCCCCCTTCCGCCGCCACTCCGCATTCAGCCCTTGACAAAAGGCATCCTGTCTCTGTCGTTATCCCTCCCCGCTCTCCTTATGCCATGCCCCCCCCCCACCTCCGCGATCCCAAACGTCGTCGACGACATCTTCGGCGCCGCCGTCGCCGTCATCGCCGTCGTCCTTGCACTGGGTCGCCGCTTGGACTGGCACAAGCACTGGCGGCGCCGGGACCTGCCGGAGGCGGGCGGAGCAAGGGTGGGGAAAGACGAGGCTGACGCTACAAGCTGGGTCGAGAACGTGCCGCCGAGAAGAACGAACAAGAAACTCTTTTGCTCGACGACTGCTTCGCTGTGGGCGTGTTCCGTGCCAACCTGTCTGGCTCAGGCGGGTGGCGCTCTTGATTTGGAAACGGGCCGCCTGTGCCACCGCCAAAACACAAGGAAAAAACCGCAATGAAGCCGCCGACTGCTCGAACGCGTAACGGGCCAACGCCTTTTATTCCACGACTGGCAAGTACGAGGTTGCACGGAAGCAAACCCTTACCCTCATGCCACTGCGGCTGGAGAGCCGGGGCCTGGGAAACAGCCCGCACGGGCAGTGGGGGCCCGTCTTGCTGTGGCAGCGCGCCGACTGACATTGCATTCGAGCTGGAAAAAACCAACAAATCTGGCCTGGAAATATGTATTGATGTTTCCGTTCCTGGTTTGCCTTCGCGTTGGCAGCGCTTTCCCCTGGTGCCCAACCGTCGTATGACAAGGAATATACAGCGCGCTCCTTGACAACACGTCGGGGCGGTGCGTCGGCATGGCCACTAGCCTACATGTCTACATGCTTTTGTCGGGGATCAACTGACCCAGGTCAATCCAGACCCCCGGGCCAGTAAGGCACTGCATGTTCCTGCAAATCCTGAAAGAACCTGCAACCAAACCCAAGCCAGTGCCCCATTTGCATTGACCCCGTCTCTTCAACCCCGACTTTGTTCCATATCGGCTGTGCCAGCCTTGAGAGCGCGATCTCTTGCGAAGGCTCCAGCTGCAGTGACAGGTGGCCGTGGAGAGAACCACGGCCTCAGCATTTCCTTGAGAGCACGAGTATCGGCACCAGTCAGAGACCGAGGGGATCGGGAACGCGACGGAGGGCGGCCCACTGAAACGCAGAAGCAGACAGCGGCCGACAGCAACGGTCCTGGCGAAATTTGTCGTCAGAGCAGGCGTGCCTGCTGTCGGAGATGCCTGCGGGCAGGAAAAAGGGCGGGGGAGGAAGGGGCGAGAGAGGCAGGAGGGCAAGCTCGGCGCGCTGGCACCGAATCTGGCATCCTCCTGGTCCATCCCCAACATGTCCGTACGGGGCCAGGCAAAACGGCGGTGCACGGTTGAGCAACGTTTTGGCGGGCGTGCATTAACAGGGAAGCAAAAGAGAAGGACGATGAGGAGGGATGGGGGAGGTAAACGAGAGGAGGGGAAGGAGAGGGATTTGGGAGAATAAGAGGGGGAGCGGGAGGTGGACTGGGACGAGGAGGAGGAGGGGGAGGAGGAGGAGGAGGAGGAGGAGGAGGAGGAGGAGGAGGACGAGGAGGAGGAAAAAGAGGAGGAGGAAGAGGAGGAAGGAGGAGGAGGAGGAGGGGCAGGCGGAGGCGGAGGCGGAGGAGGAGGAGGAGGGAAGGAGGAGGAGGAGGAGGAGGAGGAGAAGGAGGAGGAGGAAAACGAGGAGGAGGAGGAGAAGGAAGGGGAGGAGGTGGAGGATGAAGAGGAGGAGTAGGACGAGGAGGAGGAGGAGGGGGGGGGAGGAGGGGGAGGAGGGGGAGGAGGGAGGAGGAGGAGGAGGAGGAGGAGGAGGAGGAGGAGGAGGAGGATTTCCAGGATTTCCGCCATCACGTAGTGATAAGAAGGCTGAGCTCAGCACTTGGGAAACAGGTCGCGATCGATTCGATTCAAATACTCGCGCCTGGCCTTGGTGATTAGGTGGGGGCGACAAGGATTACCTAAGCCCTTGAGCTGGGCCTGGCCGAAAAATCCGCACGACCCACAAAACCATAATCCAAGGTCTTTGTGATACCGAAGGGCGTGTGAGGGATGCGTCCAGCCACCTGCCAAGTGTAAACTCCGTCCAAGGGGGGCTCGGGATAACTTGTCATTCGCAGGCAGGGGAGGGTTGCAAGCGCTTTTCAACCATTCGGACTCTTTATCTTTGGAACTCGAACTGAAACAAACCGAACACGCTCTGCCATTTTCGGTCAGGGCGTGGGCAGAAGCGAAACGGGCGAGGGCGAGAGGAGGAGGAGGCCGAGGAGCAGGGGGGCCAGGCGGAACCAGGGGAACCCCATCGTTGGCCTTGATGGCCTGGGAATCCTGAATACAATCCAACCCTACTCTAAGAAGACGCCTCCTGACTAGTCTCGCCTTGCGTTCGACTTGGTGCACTCGGAACCTGTCGGTCTCGGGGGCCCTGGCCAAAGAGGCGGCCGACCCCGCAAGCACATCAACACACGCGTTCCCTATCACAAGCTAGCTGTCCCACCCACGCTGGAGGGCCTCGCTGGCCGACATATGGGATGGGACCTGCAAGACAACAATATCACTAGCACTCCTGTCCTGAGCAGCGAGGGTGAGACCGATGCTGCGCCACAAATCTGCCTGAGGGCCCTCAGGGCTGGCACTCTTAGACGCATGCCACCCTCGGGCGACCTCAGCACAGTCAGTGATGTAAACTATGGGCCCAGTCGTGAATCGAATGGTCCATTCGAAAGCCTGAACTTCACCCCTGGGGACCGTTTGGGCCGGCCCCACCAGAGGTCCAAACAAAAACGGGCCGAGCTCACAAGGCACAAAACTAGTAAACGTGGCAACAGCACACCCTACCCTACGCAACCTACTATCATGGGTGTCTTTTCCCCCCGAGGCGTCCCCGAAGACGAACAACGGCAGGTCCCGAGTCCCTTGGCCGAGACACCCAGGACCGAGACGCCCCTCGGGGAGATTCCTTCCGAAAAAAAACTTCTTCCTGAGCAGGAGCAGTAACGCGGGTCCACTCACTGGGGATCACACCCCTCGTCCAAAAGCACGGGCACGCTTCATGTTCTGCCTGGGCCTCCACGGTCAGACAGTCGGATTGGGCATATGCTGCTGACCCCTGGTTTTTACTGCACAACCAATTGCGGTGCAGAGGCGTGTCGACCGCCTCCTCGCACCGCTCGCACTGGTCGGAGCTGCTGAGTTTGGCCGAAAATTTGCGCTCCTGCGTCCAGTAGCCGCCCGTGGCGATGGTCACCATCAACTCCGACAGCTGACGGCCCTTCTTGGCGTGAAGCAGCATCGCGATGTAGGCACGGTAGCTCTGCCAATCAGCTCCCTGCTCTAGGCCGCCGCCACAAAACAAGCCAGCTGCCTCTTCCCAGAGTTGCCTGTACAACGTGTCCTCGAACTCCTGCAAGAGTGGCCGCGCCTGGTCCAGGCCAACAAAAGCATCCGTGGAAAACTCCCAAGTATGCTCCATATTGCTCCCGTCACTCGGCACCTGCCACTCCGTAGCAGACTTCAAGATCCATCCAGCTTGTAACAAATACAACACTGCTGAAGACATTGGCCCGCGAACGTGACGACTCCGCTGCCCAGCAGGGACAAGGCTTAACTTATCCACCGTGCGAGACCACGCCAGTCGAATGGACGGACGAAGTCGTGGTTCTCGCAACCAACAATCAAGCCACTGCGTGATGCAAAGCCTCGGCAGCACCACTCCTGAATCCGCTCCTGGCAACCGTAGAGCTAACAGAGATGTCAAGCAGCGCCCCCGCTTGTGTGACCCCGCTGCAGCTCCTAACCGTCGCCTGTGACTCAGCATCACCGACCCGAAGCAGCCCAAGACCTGGTGGCCATATGAGGCCGATGCCTGAGGGCCCGTCCTCTGGATCATGCTCGTGGTCGACCACCATCTCGCAGCTGCTGCAAAACGTCGAAGCCGTCGGTGTGACGTCCCTGACTTCTTCACGCGCTTGCGCGCTGTGTCCCTACCGTGGCGACGTCCTCCCGCGAGATCGATCCCAAGGTAAGCGGCCTGCTGCACTGGGGAAACCTCGATGCCGAGACGACGCAACCTCCGAGCTACCTGCACCGCGTCCTGGTGGATGGAGCACACCACCACACTCTTTGCCGCGATGCCCAGCTTGAGCCTCCGAAACTCCTTCACCGTGGTAGCGACCGCCTTCACCAGAGTGCCACGAACATGTTCACGACTGCCCGACGCACGCTCCAGCAAGTCGTCGATCCAAATCCTCTGAGACATTGACGGGTGAGCAATCGCCAACTTCTCGCATGCAACTGCTGTGATACATTTTGCGAATCGAGTGCCACTGCGCGATCCTTGAATGACCGACTTCGTGGCCTGGAATGGCAACGAGTACGAGTCCAGCTGAGACAATAACCTAGGCGCCATGAACAGCTGCACCTCCAAAAACAACACTACTGGTGGATAGCCTTTCCTGATCGCACACTCCGCCAGGATGGGCCATTCGATGCCGTCGTAGAAGGCCTCCACATCCAGCAGAGCCTGCCCGTGGGGCAGGCGCAGGGAGGTCTGAACCTCGTCCTCCAGCGCCCGCACGAAAGCCTCCCTCAGGGCGCTGTTCCCCGCGAGGGCAGCATCCCAATAATCATCCTGCTGGTCGGCCCAGCCTCGCACCAGCGGCTCCCGTGCGAGCGACCATACTCTGCACAGCATGCCGAGCAGCCCGATGCATCGATCCCCACCCGACTTTTTGCCGAGCAGGCGCCCCAGTACGCACAGCACCTGCCACGGCCAGCTGAGGCCCTGCTCGATCATCGTGAACAGCTCCACGAGGTCACTGATGGCCTGGTCTGGCAAGCGACTGAAGCCCGAGGGAGACAGCCTGTCCACCCCTTGCCCCGCACGGGGCTTCATCTTGGCCAGGGCTCCCCTGACCTCCTCGATGGAGAGGGGTACCATCTGCTCCACCTCAGCGTGCTCGCGAATCATGTCACACGCCCGCATAATGTCGTCGTGCTCTGACACCTTGGAGGACCACAACTGATGCCACCGAGATATTTTGCAGTCGACAATCTCCAGCGGGTGCACCAGCTTCTTATCCCCGATGTGATACTCGTCCACCTCTGGAGCCAGATCTTTGATGGATCTGTGAACTGCGCCCAAACTGTCCACCGAGCCAATCCAACTCTGGAAGTCGCGAAGAGACGCCGAAGCTGCACGATTCTGCGCTCTCCTCGCCGATTTGAACGCCACCTCCTCCAGTAGAGCGAGCTCGTCCATGGTCTGAGCCTGCAAACTCCGAAGTGCTGCAAGGAATCGGGCCCAACTGAGCCCGAGCACGCCTGCAAAACAAGCACCTGCACCGTCTAACGGCTGATCCGCTAAACCCAGCGCTGCTTGCGCAAGATGCCCCATCTGCAAGCTGCCGTTGTCACGCCGCCGATGTCGACACGCCTGCTTGAGGATCGAATGCCCTCTGCTCCACCATGCTGCCACGCCATCGCGTAGCGGCTGCGACCTGACTCGCTCTGGCTCCCTGACTGGGCCGACGACCAACTGAACGCCGCTGGCCCTCGACTGCATTGGTGCCGTCCCTCCGTGATGAGCCGCAATAGCGCCCTCGACCGTGGTCACCCATCGGGCGAAGCAACTGCTGATAGGCAGGGTGTGGCGCTGCCCAGCCGAGAAAGCGAGGGACCGTCTGATGGGGTTCCAGACGTCCTCAAGGGAGTGTGAGAGCCACGGAGTTTGAGCCGCAACGGCTGTCCAGGCGGAAGGGGGGATGGCGAAAGAGGGAAGGGCGGCCGCAGCGGCACCGGCAGACGAGGGCGGATCAATCTGACCGCCAGCCGTGCTGACGCCCGAGCCCCCAGGACGCTCGACAGTGGGGACCGCAGAGACATCCCTCAACACTTCGCCAATTACAGGGGACCTTTCATGCTGCGCGGACTCGCCAGATTCACCAAAGGCTCCTAGATCACACGCATCCTGGTTGCAAGCTGGCCGAAAGCATGATTCTGACGCCCACGGGTCCTCCCCCTCATCCTCGAAGGCCCCGAACTCGACGAGGTCCCCGAAATCGTCCGAGCCGCTTCTGGGCTCAGCCACCTCCTGGGGGCTCGGACCCTCGGGGGGATCGGGACCGTCCTGAGTGGGTTCGCCAGAGGGGCCAGCTTTTGAAACAAAAACATCTGAAACAATCTCGTCACAGTCGGCTCGTATCCTGTCTTGGGCAATCTGTGACCGAACCTGCTGCTCCGCACGCGCCTTGCTCGACTTCGACCCTGCCGCGGGACTGATGCTCGGGCGTGGGGCCTGCGGCAGGCGCGGGGCGGTGACGAGAGAACGCTGCAGTAATTGCTCACCAGAACCGTGACGTGTGAGCTCCAAACCTACATGTGGCCCCCACGGGACATCGGATCTAGCTACAAGAGACTTAATGTACGGCAACGCATTCTC